GTGTGTGTGTGTGTGTGTGCATGTGTGCAGTTTTGAGTACTTCAGCAGGTGATTACATGTGTGTGTGTGAGTAGCTTTCCTTAAACTTTACAGGCGTGCAGCTGAGAGCAAAATGAAGGTCGAGTTCAAAGAATAGGTGTGGTACAACCCGTGACTTCTGACTATGTAATCCCTTTTGTAAATTTTTACATTTTGTATGCCTTTGATTTTCTCAAGAGCTGCTGATCCCATTGTCTTCAAAATTGCCAGGTGTCTTTCTGAGGAACAGAGGAAGTTCCGGGTTGTTTTATTGGTCGAGCGGTTCTCAGGAAACATGAGAAACATCAGAGGAAACATCAGGCAGCAGTCATTTAGAGCAATTATGACAATTGTGCATTGAAAAGATGACTGCCTCAATTTGCTATTTTATTCTGCATAATTACGTGTCTATTCATGTGTCTGGTAAAAACACAAAGTTATGGAGGGAATCGTCCTGGATAGTAATTTGTGTTAAGAGAAGCCAATAGCTCTGAATGTGCATCTTGCCTGACAGTAATGCTGACATCAACTATAGCAGCTTAACATGGAAAGTCATGACGACAGCGAGCTCTCTGTTATCGAGGACTTTTCTCACCACCTTCAGCTACACCAGTGGATTTAAACCCAACTATTTGACAGTACAGGTCCTATTAAGCAGGAGAAGACATGGATTTTAATGTACAATGATATTGATATGTTTGGACAAATATTTTGCAAAAACCAAGAGATAGATGGGCAATTACCACAGTGACAGAGAATTAAAAATAGGAAGATGTGTTTTTCAGTTAATGGAGGACTTAACAGTCATGTGTGACAGAGTCAATGTCCTTAACATTACAGACTGTAGTTGCAGGCTGTAAAAACCTAAAACATTGTATTCATTGCACTTGTACTGTCACAATAAAGATATCTTTAACCTCAGACCTCTTGAATCTTTATTATATATTTTTTCCCCCTTTCAACCCATGTGGGCGCAGTTTTAGAAATCCAATCAAGTTTAAAGTGGCAGTGGAAACTACAGAGTACAGGACACAGTGAGCGGGAGATAGAGAGAGGTTGTACAGTGTGTACAGTGGAGAACAGGAGACCAAAGTCCAGGAGGGAGGAGACAGAGAGGCAGAGCAGTGAGCTGGCTCTGTGTTACGTGGAAGTCTCCTGACAGGCAGGGGACGATCATGAAGTCCCATTGAAACAAAGCTCTTCCGCTTGGCACAGGTTAAAGTACAATCAAGCCCTGATCCCTCTGATCCAACTCTGCTGCTGAAATTCTGTGGCCTGGATTTCATACCACAACATGTTTTTTCAAAATCATGAATTTGTATTTGCCTTTTTTGGATAACTGACAATAAAGTGAAGATCAGAAAAAAAACAGGAGAGGGAGAGGAGGATGATGTGTATTAAAGGTTTTCAAACTGGAGGTGTTCACAGCTGTGTGTGCTCTGGTCTGCTGGCCTGCACGAATGCTGCCTCCATGTTTGTATGAATACATGTACAGTATTTGTGTATATCTACTGGTGGGAAACCTGAGTGCTGTGAGAGTTTGGTGGCTGCCAGGGCCTCATCTATAATGCAGGCCTGTCTCTAAGCAGGTTGCTGAGAGTGCAGGGGAAGGAGAGAATGCTCTCTCAGGTATCCAATAAATCTGTCCATTCCACAGCAGAGACAATTGAGCCGTGCGAGTAGAGGCCTGCGCTGTAATTCCATCCCACGGATGACTCTTGGAGATGGGCTTCTGACGTGGGCCACAGTGGGTAGATGTGGTCAGCTGCATAGAAACACACGTGAGGACGCAACCCTGCACGCTTCTATAAACCAAATAAGACACCATACGTTTGTTTACTGAATGGTGAGCACACAGCCTGCCAGAAAATCTCGTTTTATAATTTTGACCTATTTGTTCTGTTCCTCTTTCTTTCCAGGGGAATCTGGACAGTGCATTTTCATGTGACACCAAGAACAGGAAACAAACCTCTCCCCCATTAATCTCTAATGTATGATCTCTAGGAGCATAGACTCACATGAATAATGTCTGTGCCTGATCGAGACGGGAGCGAGGTTTCGTTTACATTTATTTATTTACAGGACTTTCCAAAAGTGACTGTGACAGTGCACACACTGTCAATCTGATGCTCAGAAAGACTGAGTTACATGTTTGTAGATATCTGTGCAGGACGAGACACAATACAGATATTTAGCAGAATGGATGAAATTAGAAAAGAGGGTTACAGAGAGAGAGAGAGAGAGAGAGAGAGAGATGGAGGGGGAGAGAGAGAAAAATGATCAGGGGCTGATCCTTTAATCCCTCTACAGGGCTCTAGAGACAAGCTTGTACAAACACAGACCCTATTCAGCCCTCCCCCTCTATCCTCTACACACTTCCTCTCATTTCTTGCCTCCTCTAAAGGCGATCAATGGACGATAGCACAATGCAGTATGGTACTTTTTTTATATAGGTGCAGGACTGGCAGAGAGGACCTCCCTGATAATGTAATTGTGTGGGTTTGTGTGTGTCTGTGTGTGTGTGTACATAGCAGCTGGTGTTGCGGGGGGATCAGGTTGAGAGAACACCCCCCTCACAACACACACACACGGGCCATGTCTGGCAGGATCCAATAATCCCACTACTCCCAACAATCCACTGGGGATTGGCACTCTGCAAACATTAATGTGGTTGTTTAGATTGTGTTTCAATATCTTGTACCTTCGACAACATACTGTAGCGAAAGACCTTTAACATAAACAGACACACACTGAATTAATGCTCAGACTCACACAGCACCACGAGCAGCATCTGTGCCTCTATCACTCTGCTCCTCATTAAGGGAAGCCCTGCTGGGCCCCACAGGGGGAACCTCCCTTTAGGTGACAGCTGCGCCACCAACAAAGAACCAATTTAGACCCTATCCCACCTCATCATTCACACGTTACCATGTCAACACAGCATCCATCCTGACCTTATGCTACCAGTCACACACTCTCATCCAGCACTCAGGTTTGGAGAGGCCAAAAGCCCTAGAAGTCTGAGTCCACCAAGCATCTGTTGTGGCGTTTGCAGTTGTGTTGTGGCATTTAGAGTTGTGTTGTGGTGTTTACAGTTGTGTTGTGGCATTTACAGTTGTGTTGTGGCATTTACAGTTGTGTTGTGGCGTTTACAGTTGTGTTGTGGCATTTGTAATTGTGTTTTGGGATAGCCAGCCAAAAGTTTTTTCTGCATTCATTAGAATTTATTACTTTTTTCAACAAATAACTTGTTAAACCTTTTTTTTAACAAAAAAGTAAGATCTGTCTTAGCCTCATGAGCCAATAGACACTTAAAGGTTCAGTGTGTAAGATTTAAGGATGTATTGGTAGAAATTGAATATGAAATAACCCCAGTGATGTTTTCACTGGTGTGTTTCATCTAAATTGTTGTTTTCTTTATCCTAGACTGAAGCCTTTATATGAAACAAACGCAACACAAAAAGACACGGCAAGAGCGTCGTCTCTACTGAGCACCACATAGGAAGCAATTGGAGTTTACGGTGTAAAATCCAAAGAGCTTAGACGAACACAGGAGTCTCATGATGCGTTTCTATGTTTTGAAACTACACTTGTGACCTTTTGTTATTATATGAGCTGAACAGTTGTACTCTGGTTGTTTCTGGAGTCAATGCAGACTATGGACTTTCATGCTTCCTGTGTGAATAAACACTGTTATGAAACAGAAATGTGTTCTTCTGTCACTGAAGCAACACTTTTGACATATTTTGCAACATCACAGTGCGGAGACCTCGGGAGTATGACTCTTCCACCAGAACATGCAGCCCCGTCCTGATTTGTTGTTGGGATGCGGGTCAATGTCTATTTCAGCTTTCCCTCGCTAGGGGATTGGGTGGCCTGCTGTAGGTGGGTGAAAGTATTAATCTGCTGGTGCTAGCTCAGCGGTGGAAGTGAAAAATAAACAAATTCTGGCACAAGCATTCGGACATCTGCCATCAAGCGGCTGCCATTTTGTTACAATCTCCTCTATTCTTCATATTCTGACTCCCTCTAGTGACGCACCTGGGTGGATTTAAACTCCTGGTGGTGGCCGGAGGGGAGAGCAGGTCACATGCACCTGCCTGCCGGGGTTTGACTGGTATTGTTGGACAAATGGGTGCAAGGTCAGAGCTACATGCTGAAGCCACAGGGAAAGTGCCAGGTGGGATCATGTGGAATATGAAGAGTTTGTTGTGAAGGCTGGATTTCACAGGAGGAGGAGGAGGAGGAGGAGGAGGAGGAGGGTGGTCAGGTGGATGACTGAAACTGCCAGAGAGAGAGAGAGCTGACAGGAGACTGAAAGAGAGCACACAAACAAGCTATGCCCTAGTTACCAATTTTTTCTAAAGTCAGTGTCTGTCGGTGTGGTTTCCAGGTCTGTCAGTGAGCTTATCAAACCAAATTAAATCAAGGAAAGACGCATTCAATTCAGATACGTGGGGGTAAACACGGCAGACAATCATTAGCAGTCCAACCGCACACACACACATAACTTGTTCCTCAAATAGCCTCAGCTGGTACCAGCCAGAACTGGAGAAAATAAATAACTGAAGAAAAGAGTGTGCGCCATTGACACGTCACACACTCTCCCCTCCAGCTTCAGTCTCCAAGCCTCTCAGTGAGGCTGCAGCCCGCACTGCAAACAGCACACGCAGCCTCCGAGAGAAATCTGCAAATATCACGAAAGGTTTCCACAGAACAGCCTCAACATTGGCCTTTGCAGTAAAAGCAGACTTTTTGTTCCCTGTGATTCTTTAATGTAGACACTTTACAGAGCTCCGTTTATGAACCAGACCTATCTAGTATGGTGAACGCAAACAGACACAGAGGGACGTTGAGGCCAAGGAGACAGTGGAGGGAGAGAAGAGCTCAGAGAAAAGTACAGAAAAGAAAAGCAGATTAGGGAGGTAATAAAAGAGACATGGAGGGATGTGAATAGGGATGAAAAGCTGCTATCCTGCTTTGGTTGTGGCTGCTTGCGGCGTGATACTGTACCACAACCACGCTCCAAAGGGAAAGACTCCCAGAGCGACAACAAAGGACACAAGAGGAGCCGGCTCCATGTGAACTGGGCCCGTCTGCCCTGCACGGCCAGGAGACAGCAGCAGAAACACACACACATACACACACAGACAAACACAGGCTCGGACGCTGCACACTAGAGCAGCTGCTGCCACAACAATCCCCCTTGTGCTCTTTTAATAGGGGACGGCCTGGGCCTGCTCGGTCTGCCAACAACAAGGGGCCGAGGACAGATACGGACCCACACACACAGCAGAAGAACACATATTGCAGGAGGCTGCCTGCGACTGAGACTGTTTTGATGTCTGCGTTATGAAAGTGCACAAATCTACAGAGCAAAAGAAAAAAGAATAAGCACAAGCATGTGGGAGGAAGTGGGTGTTGTACGACATGTTATTTTCTTCTGCCTGAAGATAGATGGGGAGCTGGGAAATCAATACGCTTTAGTGCTTCTATTAGCTCCTGGGTTCATACTATCCCTGCTTGCTCTTAAAATAACCGCAACATGTGCATTTAAATATGAAATCATGTTCTGTCAGCTGCTTGAGAGGAAAGCCAAACAGCAAACTCTTCTTGGACCTGCAGCCGATATTTGAAACACTCAAATATTGAGGATGGAAGGATGGATGGAGCTCCCCCCTCCTCCCCCCTCCGCTCCTCTAAAGCCCCGGCTGCCGGCTACTCATCCTGTGCAGTTATATAAACACGCTTAGTAGCAGAGGACAGAGGTGGGCACACACGGAGCGCTCCTGCTGCCAAGCCGAGTAAATAAAGAGATGAGGACGCAGAGTGGGGAGAGAAAAGTCGAAGATGATGAGGCAGGCAGAGAGAGAGAATGTGCAGAATGAGTGGGGTGGAGTAAAGGAATAGAAAATCTGAAACAGTGAAGGGAAAGTGAGTTTGTGTGCGTGCACATGCAGAAGTGCCCGTGGCTGTGCACAATAAACACGTGCGCCCCAGAAAGTCTGTCATCTCTGACCATCGGGGCGTTGTGAAGCCTGAGAGGTCGTGCTTGTTCGATTCTGTTGCTATATGAAAACGTGGAGGAGGGTGACATCCGCTCATCCGCCTCTTCCTACATCTCAACCTGTCCTTCAGAGGGCACGGAGAGGCACTGCATCAAAAAGCAGCAGCAGCATCATCACAGCTGAGCCCAAAATAGCTCCTGCACGCACCGACGCACGAACGCTCGACACACTCCTGCAGCATCGCTCCTGAACAAGCACTGACAGCTGATCCATATGCGAATAGCACATACACACACACCAATGTCTTGCCACAGACGCATACACATGTATAATAAAAAAGGAAAGAGAGCACTCGTAACACAAAAGCAGGGCGAAAAGACAACAGCATCAGCAGATTACTCACAGCGTACGGAGCCCAAATTCATGGTCCTCTCTCTGCTCCAAGCTCTGAGGCAGAGATGAGAAAATAGGGAAAAAAAACACAAAAAGGAGAAAGCCGAGGAAGAAAGAGTGAAGAGGCGGTCCGGATCCAAGAAACAAGAAAAAGAAAAACAGCAAGAAAACCAGGGATAGAGGGAGACGAGAGGCCGGAGATGCACAGACACTCAACTCCTGCAGCACCTGTAATGTGAGTGGGTGGGTGGCAGCGTCACCGGCTCTCGCTAAAAGACCTGCTCACGTCACACTTTTCATGAATGGAGCCGTCTGACGCAGAGAGGACACGGCTCAAAGAGCAGGGGAGGGAGGGAGGGGAGGTGGAGCTATCTGCATAGACTCTGAGAGGGGGAGGAGGTGCAACGAGAGATGAAGAGGAGAGAGGAGAATAAGGAGGATGGGTTGGTTTGGGGGGGGCATATTTCAAAGCAAAAGCAGCTGGGAGCATCAGGTCTCTGTAAGTACGACAGGAGTATGAGTCTTACTGCACTTTGTTCCCAATCAGTCATCAGTTCTCACCACGCTGAGCGTATATCAGCATCACCACATATGACTGCACTCCTCCCCCTGTATCCTTAGACTGAAGAATTCCATTTCAAACATACATGTTGACTTTAACACACAGCCTCCGCTTTGTTTAAAACATTTCACCAAACATTAATTTATCAAGTGATGCTTAAGCAGTCCGTGTGTCACCCCCTGTCCTAGTAAGTCTCTTTCTTGTCTTTTGTCTGCGCTAATACATTTTCTTCTGCAGACTGAGAGACTTCAAACTCAAACAGTGAAAAATCAAAAGGTCAGAATCAGCATGTCAGAAGAGCCGTTCTTTTCTCTCCCCAAAATTTAATGTCTCTCACAACATCTCACACATCTCGCTCTGTATTATAAAGAATCACCTCTTTATTTTGCCATTCAGACCCTCAGCTCAAGTGTGTTTGTGTGCGTGTGTGTGCGCATGTGCTGACCTGTCAGGTGGTTTGTGAGCATCTCAAAGGTCTGCGGAGTTTGAGGTGTGCTCGGGTTCAACTTCGTCTTGCTTTTCACCTACACACACACACACACA